CATTTCATGCCTTGCTATACTATTACTTATTTTGAAATTTTTCGCCATACTATACTATGTCGTTTTTTTTGCATTTCATGAGTTACTGTTTTATCACATATTTTGACATTTTTCGCCATACTATACTATGTCGTTTTTTTGCATATTATGATTTACTGTACTATTACTTATTTTGACATTTTTCGCCATACTATACTATGTCGTTTTTTTGCATTTTATGAGTTACTGTACTATTACATATTTTGACTTTTTTCGCCATACTATACTATGTCGTTTTTTTGCATATTATGATTTACTGTACTATTACATATTTTGAATTTTTTGCCATACTATACTATGTCGTTTTTTTGCATATTATGATTTACTGTACTATTACATATTTTGAATTTTTTGCCATACTATACTATGTCGTTTTTTTTGCATATTATGAGTTACTGTACTATTACATATTTTGACTTTTTTCGCCATACTATACTATGTCGTTTTTTTGCATTTTATGAGTTACTGTACTATTACATATTTTGACTTTTTTCGCCATACTATACTATGTCGTTTTTTTGCATTTTATGAGTTACTGTACTATTACATATTTTGACTTTTTTCGCCATACTATACTATGTCGTTTTTTTGCATTTTATGAGTTACTGTACTATTACATATTTTGACTTTTTTCGCCATACTATACTATGTCGTTTTTTTGCATTTTATGAGTTACTGTACTATTACATATTTTGACTTTTTTCGCCATACTATACTATGTCGTTTTTTTGCATTTTATGAGTTACTGTACTATTACATATTTTGACTTTTTTCGCCATACTATACTATGTCGTTTTTTTGCATTTTATGAGTTACTGTACTATTACATATTTTGACTTTTTTCGCCATACTATACTATGTCGTTTTTTTGCATATTATGATTTACTGTACTATTACATATTTTGAATTTTTTCGCCATACTATACTATGTCGTTTTTTTGAATTCCATGCCATACTATACTTTGATGTATTTTGAAATTTTTCGCCATACTATACTATGTCGTTCTTTTGCATATTATGAGTTACTGTACTATTACATATTTTGAATTTTTTGCCATACTATACTTTGATGTATTTTGAAATTTTTCGCCATACTATACTATGTCGTTTTTCTTGCATTTCATGAGTTACTGTTTTATCACATATTTTGACATTTTTCGCCATACTATACTATGTCGTTTTTTAAATTTCATGCNCATACTATACTATGTCGTTTTTTTTTATTTCATGCCTTACTATACTTTGATGTATTTAGACATTTTCTTGCCATACTATACTATGTTGTTTTTTTGCATTTTATGAGTTACTGTATTATTACATATTTTGAAATTTTTGCCATACTATACTATGTCGTTTTTTTGAATTTCATGCCTTACTATACTTTGATGTATTTTGAAATTTTTCGCTATACTATACTATGTTGTTCTTTTGTATATTATGAGTTACTGTACTATTACTTATTTTGACATTTTTCGCCATACTATACTATGTTGTTCTTTTGCATTTTATGAGTTACTGTACTATTATATATTTTAACTTTTTTCGCCATACTATACTATGTCGTTTTTTTTGCATTTCATGCCTTGCTATACTATTACTTATTTTGAATTTTTTCTCCATACTATACTATGTCGTTTTTTTGCATTTTATGAGTTACTGTTTTTTTACATATTTTGCCATTTTTTGCCATACTATACTATGTCGTTTTATTGCATATTATGAGTTGCTGTACTATTACATATTTAGAATTTTTCGCCATACTATACTATGTCGTTTTTTTGCATTTTATGAGTTACTGTTTTTTTACATATTTTGCCATTTTTTGCCATACTATACTATGTCGTTCTTTTGCATATTATGAGTTACTGTACTATTACATATTTAGAATTTTTCGCCATACTATACTATGTCGTTCTTTTGCATATTATGAGTTACTGTACTATTACATATTTAGAATTTTTCGCCATACTATACTATGTCGTTCTTTTGCATATTATGAGTTACTGTACTATTACATATTTAGAATTTTTCGCCATACTATACTATGTCGTTCTTTTGCATATTATGAGTTACTGTACTATTACATATTTAGAATTTTTCGCCATACTATACTATGTCGTTTTTTTGCATTTTATGAGTTACTTTACTATTACATATTTTGTATTTTTTGCCATACTATACTATGTCATTTTTTTGCATTTTATGAGTTACTGTTTTATTACATATTTTTACATTTTTTGCCATACTATACTATGTCGTTTTTTTGCATCTTATGAGTTAATGTACTATTACATATTTTGACTTTTTTCTCCATACTATACTATGACGTTTTTTTGCATATTATGAGTTACTGTACTATTACATATTTTGACTTTTTTCTCCATACTATACTATGACGTTTTTTTGCATATTATGAGTTACTGTACTATTACATATTTTGACTTTTTCGCCATACTATACTATGTCGTTTTTTTGCATCTTATGAGTTAATGTACTATTACATATTTTGACTTTTTTCGCCATACTATACTATGTCGTTTTTTTGCATTTTATGAGTTACTGTACTATTACATATTTTGAATTTTTTCGCCATACTATACTATGTTGTTTTTTTGCATTTTATGAGTTACTGTACTATTACATATTTTGACTTTTTCGCCATACTATACTATGTCGTTTTTTTGCATATTATGATTTACTGTACTATTCCATATTTTGAATTTTTTGTCATACTATACTATGTCGTTTTTTTAAATTTCATGCCTTACTCTTCGTTGATGTATTTTGACATTTTTCGCCATACTATACTATGTCATTTTTTTGCATTTCATGAGTTACTGTAGTATTACATATTTTGAATTTTTTGCATTTCATGTTTTTTTGCATTTCATGCCTTGCTATACTATTACTTATTTTGAAATTTTTCGCCATACTATACTATGTCGTTTTTTTGCATTTCATGCCTTATTATACTTTGATGTATTTTGACATTTTTCGCCATATTATACTATGTCGTTTTTTTTCATATTATGAGTTACTGTACTATTACATATTTAGAAATTTTTCGCCATACTACACTATGTAGTTTTTTTGAATTTCATGCCTCGCTGTACTATTACTTATTTTGACATTTTTCGCCATACTATACTATGTCGTTTTTTGCATTTCATGCCTTGCTATACTATTACTTATTTTGAATTTTTTCGCCATACTATACTATGTCGTTTTTTTGCATTTTATGAGTTACTGTATTATTACATATTTTGAATTTTTTGCCATACTATACTATGTCGTTTTCTTGAATTTCATGCCTTACTATACTTTGATGTATTTTAAAATTTTTCGCCATACTATACTATGTCGTTTTTTTGCATATTGTGAGTTACTGTACTATTACCTATTTTGAATTTTTTACCACACTATACTGTGTCGTTTTTTTGCATTTCATGCCTTGCTATACTATTACATATTTTGAATTTTTTCGCCATACTATACTATGTTGTTTTTTTGCATTTCATGCCTTGCTATACCATTACTTATTTTGAAATTTTTCGCCACACTAAACTATGTCGTTTTTTGCATATTATGAGTTACTGTACTATTACATATTTTGAATTTTTTCGCCATACTATACTATGTTGTTTTTTTGCATTTCATGCCTTGCTATACTATTACATATTTTGAATTTTTTCGCCATACTATACTATGTCGTTTTTTTGAAGTTTATGAGTTACTTTTTCATTACATATTTTGACATTTTTTGCCATACTATACTATGTCGGTTTTTTTTGCATATTATGAGTTACTGTACTATTACATATTTTGAATTTTTTGCCATACTATACTTGCGTTTTTTTGCATTTCATGCCTTACTATACTTTGCCGTATTTTGACATTTTTCACCATACTATATACTGTCCTTTTTTGCATTTCATGCCTTATTATACCATTATGTTTTTTGACGTTTTTATGCCTTAATATAATGTTTTTTTACATTTTCACACCTTCAATTATGATGTATTTTGGCATTTTTATGCCTTACTATGACATGTTGTTGACACTTTTATGGCTTATCATACTGACATGACAAATCAATCAGGAGAGACTCATTTATGTAAATGAATAAACTTTTATTTTCATGTGGAAATCAAGAGGAGAAGTGAGAGATGTGAGATTCTTTGGCGTTTCAGCCCCATGGTGATGTCCTCATATATTTGTGTGGAGTTTGCATGTTCTCCCTGCGCCAGTGTGGCTTCTCTTCAGGTACTCTGGCTTCCTCCTGCTGTCCAAAGTCAAGCACATTAAGTTAATTGGCGACTCTAATGCCTTACTATACTATGATTTTTTTTTATGCCATTACTGTACTGTGGAATTTTTTTATGCCATTACTGTACTGTGGAATTTTTTTACGCCTTATATTTTATGCCATATATATGCCATATATATATATATATATACAGTCAATATACATACATGTTCCCATATCAAGAGTAATGTTACCATATGTGTCACCTATAAGAGGATATATTATATACATCCTCTTGATATATGAAGATATAAGTTTATAACATATATGAAATACTCATAGTAAAATGCAACTTTATAAATATGTGTTTATTAAAATTCTACATGTATACATATGATTTTCTTAATAATTTCTTATTAAATTTAAACATACACGTCTATCTTTTATATTTACATATATAATATGAACATATACTGACAGGCTTTGGGATGGATATATAAAGTGTTAGGATACATCAGTAGTTGTAGGGGTACAGTGTTGTTTACAATTCTCCCTCCTTGTGCCCCTAAAGGAGAGTATAACATCTCACATGCCCTTCCTCCTGTCCTCATATATTCATTGAAATCCAAATTGAATGTGTTTTGTGAAAAGTCCTTCCACAAGCTTCAATGCTCCTCTTCTTGCCTATCTGCCTCCATTTCCTTCCTACATTCAGAGAGAGAGGGATGCAGGCAGCCACTGTGTCGTCTCCATGGTGTCGAGCTCCATCACCATCCAGGACCCACGTGACTCTCAGAACCGGCGCTTGTTCTGCTTCGACTACGCCTACTGGTCCCACAGCGGCTTTGCACAGGACCGCCGTGGCCTGTTTGTGCCTGAAGAGCCAGGGGGACGATATGCTGACCAGGTCAGGTCCAAGGCAACCTGGTAGAAAAGGCAAAGGATCGGTACAGTCATTACAACCAACAAGGGTACATAAATATGCATTGCAGCTCATAAAATGTTTTCTATCCACAGGACAGTGTGTTCCAGGACCTGGGAGAAGGAATACTGGAGAATGCACTGCAGGTAAGAATCATTATGTATTTCACTCAAGAGTCACCTTCCTGTTTTTGTTCTGTGTTCCTTGGCTTTCATGGAAACTTTGGAAGTTGTACTGTCAGTTCTAATAATAAATGTCCTGAAACAATGTCTACAGGGTTACAATGCCACACTGTTGGCCTACGGGCAGACCGGCTCTGGAAAGAGTTACTCAATGGTGGGCTATGGGCCGAACAAAGGCCTGGTTCCTAAACTCTGTGACCGACTGTTTGAAGCCATTAGAGAAAACCAGGATACCAGACAGTGTCAGGTAGAGTGTGTGTGGCTACTTCAGCACATCATAATTTCCTAGCACACAGTGTCATATTTGGTTGTGTAATGGTTATGGTGAAATGTCTTCTTAATGTCTTTGCTCTTGATGTCTTCACAGGTCTTTTTCAGTATGATGGAAATCTATAATGAGCAGGTAAAACTGGCAGCTGTGTGCAGTTACTTCAGCATTGTCATTATTCCTCTTGTCTATTTCTTCATTGTTTCTTTGTCTTTTAAATCCAGCTACTGTTAAGCAACATTTTCATTATAATTTTTACTATGTACTATAATTTTTTTGTCTCTCCCCCCTCCTCATCCAGGTAATTGACCTGTTGTCTCGGGGATCTCGTACTCCAGCAGGGCTCAGAGTTAGAGAGGAGCAGCAACGAGGTTTCTATGTGGAGGGTCTCCGTACAGTCCCCTGTGACAGCGCACCACAGGTACAGAGAGGGATGTGCAGTATATGCAGAGAAAGAGGTTTCCACACACAGACAGCAAAGGGTAGCTCAGTAGAAAACTGTGATTGATCTTTGTACTAAATTTGGTTGATGTCTGTGTTGCATTTGGAAACATGTAAAAACATGATCATCTAAATGTTTCTGTAGGTGGAGCAGTTGATGGAACAGGGAACCAGGACTCGAACCACGGCTGCCACTCACATGAATGCCAACAGTAGTCGCTCACACATGCTGATTATCCTCCAGCTCAAACAGGTACTGTAAATGCTCCACTTACTGTTGTGGCTTCAGAAATCCTTCAGATAATCGTCCACACTATGCTTAAAATTCGGATCAGTAATTGAGTAATTAATTTTTTGAAATGGTTTTCTTATCCAGTCATATCCTTGATATGCATCCATTTGCATCTCTCAACAGTCTTCTGATGCCATTTACATGCATGCAGGTGTCTCTGTACATTATTATCAGACAGCATACTATCTTCAGGTTTCTTCCAACATCTGTTGTTGTAATTACTGTGGCTCCCTGCCAGATCTTTTCCAAGGAGAGCATCACAAAGCAGTCCAACATTAATCTAGTTGACCTGGCTGGCAGTGAGCGTCAGCGGTCATCTGGGTCAGAGGCTGACAGACTTAAAGAGGGCACAGCCATCAACCTGAGCCTCACCACCCTGGGCAATGTCATCAGGTAGACCTGCTGTTTAATTTATGTTTTTCTTTATTGAGTTTATTCATATTTTATATATCCTCTCCTCTCATCTCCTCCAGTGCTCTTGCTGATGTGGCGGTGGGGAAGAAGGTCATCCATATTCCTTACAGAGACTCAGTTCTCACCAAGTTGCTGCAGTCTGCACTGGGAGGCAACAGTCGCACTGTAATGGTAACAGACACTTTATAGAATCCAGGGCTAACGTAGCATTTTATAGAGGGTTCATCTTGGTTATTTTTAATTTTGGAAAATGATTCAATTTTCAAGATTGCCACACTGAGCCCTGCTGATATCTGCTACGAGGAGTCTCTCTCAACCCTGCGCTATGCTGAGAGGTACAACAAACCATTCATGCAGTGTCAGGTATTATTAGTCGCTCTTTTCCTTTGTTCCAACTGTACCCCATTCACACACTTAGCATTTTGTCCACCCTATCTCCCCCACTTCTCCAGGGCAAAGCGTATCCAGAACCGGGCAGTGGTGAACGAGAGCCCCACTGAGCGTCTTGTTAAAGAGCTGAAGGCAGAGAACGCCAGACTGCTACAGAGGCTGAGCCGGCTGGGCCAGGAGGGACGCAGAGCAAATGACGAGACCAGTAAGAACCACTGTTAGAATAGAATAGAACCCAACAAACGAGGGTTGCAGAAGTCAGCATGTATGTTTGTGTGTTAAGAGGAGCTTCGTCAGCTGCTGACCCACAATGAGCTCCAGATCAGAGCCATTCAGACTCTATGGGAACAACACCTACAGGAGGCGCTGAAGGACTGGGAGCAACAGTATGCTAATATCACACAGGTACACACACTCACACACACACACACAGATACACAATCAGAGATGCACACACTCCATAGTTTCAGATGAGCTTTGGAAAACACATGAGCACAGAACTTAGTGAAGGTTTAATGTATAAACACATCTTTGCACGTGCACTATGTGGATATTTTTCAGCTCCTCTTCTTGTCTCCTACTGCCATTCACAAGGTCTCTCTGTCTCTGCCTCACTGTCAGGAGAGGAGGATGATGCAGATGCATCCCTACATCCTGAACATCAATGAGGATGCTCAGCTGTCTGGGGTGGTCAAGCTTTTCATCCAGGAGGGTGAGTGTGTTTGTGTCTCTCTCTTTGTGCTGGATGATCATCTCACTCTCTCATTCAGTTTACCTTTTAGAGGGAGGTATTGTCAAGGGATCACTACAGTTTTTAGTGTGTTTGATTAAATTTTGTTGTAGTTTGTGTAGTTAGTTGTGTCATTATTGCTGTTTTGTGTTCCAGGTGAATGGGACATTGGCCTGTGTGACTCCTCTCTGAGATCCATTTCTATCAAGGGCCTAGGGTGAGTTTTCACCACATCAAGATCACATACGATAGAACATTACACACCTAGTGCAAATAAAGTGAGATTACAGACACTAATCTGTCCATATATGATATCTACATGTGGATGTCAATGATGCAATTGATTGGCAGTCTCTTCTAAGCATTTGCCCTCATTCCACCTAGTGCATTCTGGGATAGGCTGCAGGCTCTGACCCTTAGCATGCAAGAGAAGTGAGTGTAGACTTGTCTGGAAGCTGAGTAATGTGTGATTGTGTGTGTATGTGTTAGGATTCAGGAGCGTCATGCTGTGTTCAGGAATGAACAGCGGCGGGTAACACTGACCCCGCAGCCAGGGTCAAAGGTCATTGTCAATGGCCATGCTGTTTTCCAGACAACTGAGCTGCAGCACCTGGTGGGTCTCAACACAAACACAAACTTAATGATATGACTGTGTGATGTGCTGTTAAGTAAACACATAACATGTTTCTGTCTCTTATTGTCTCCTTCTAGGACCGTCTTATTCTTGGTTCCAACTGTACCTACCTGTTCATTGGTTATCCGTCTGAGAGGGGAGGGGATGACTGGAGTCGCTACGACTACGACTACTTCCAGTCTGAACTGGCTGCTGCTGAGGGTATCCACCTGGGTGAGTGGGAGGATCAAAAGCTGGAAGTAGAGGAACATTTATGAGAAAACTTGTTAGATATTAGTAATGTGTCTGTGTTTAGGTGAGTCCAGCGCTACGTCCACTCAGACAGACCCCAGTCTGCTGGCAGTTTTCTACGACTACATCAAACTGATGCCCATGGTGGCTGAAGCCAACCAGATGAGCCAGGAGCTGAACAAGGTGACACTCCCACTTTCACTCACATTGACATTCTTCATGACATGTTTTTTCCTCTCTGTTTTTTTATGAAACTTAAGGAAGCTGATTATCTCTCTGGTTAGTATGTTTGAATTGGAAGCAACTATGTTTGTAAAACATTTAGTTAATAATGAATGAACATCTGCTCTTTACTGTCTGCCATGTTTGTAGGGGGTAGAGTTTAAGTTAGAGATCAAGAATTTGGCACTGTCAGATTCAAAAGGTCACGATCTGGAGAAAGAGATTGTTGTCAGAGTCACCTCAGTGGGAAGAAAACAGGTCAGTCTCTTGCTTTCTTCCTGTGTTTTTATTTCTGTCTCTTATGTCCACATAAATTATTTTATCATTTCAGTTTCAATTTAAGTTTTCATTTGGGCTTGAATTTTTGTTTCTTTGTCAAAACTACTTTAATACTCCCTCCCCAGGTATGGATGTGGTCCAAGGCCAAGTTTGTGAACCGTAAATTCCTGATGGAAGAAGTCTACCAGCAGCATCAGGCTGAGCAGAATGCAGACAGTGTGGGTAAATGGAATGAATGTTGCTTATGTTTTTTTAAAATGTAATGTTTAAAATATTTACAAATCAGCAGAAATGCATAATTCCTTTCTGTTTTTGCTGCCCCTTCTTTTGTGTAATGGGAAATCAGCAAGCCTGAAAATGTTCAACATGGACTAAAAGCAAAACAAACCTGGTTCAGAAAGTGAACAGAACCCCTGAGTAAAAATGGCAAATAGATATGAGATCTGCAGTCATCTGCAGTCGAGAAAATTACAAAAACCTCCTGTATATTTATCCTTTTATACGCACTAATACTTTAAATTCAGTAAAATGTGACTAGGAGACAGAGAAACATTAAAAAAGGTTAGAGAGGCATGATCACATGGTGTTATCACACAGTGCTTTTCCGTGTTTAATGTTGATGTCACTTTCCACATGGGAGTTATTATAGCTGGATGGAATGGGAGTCTGATGTGAAAAATGGACAATTAAGTTGCACAACACAATAGCTAGATTTGCCAGTAACACATTTCAAAGCAATGACTCTATTGTTATACTTGATCTATCTTTGGTTCCTGCCGTCAGAGAGTAGAGGGGGTGTTTTCAGCGGCGTTACCCAGAGATAAAGACCCGTTCTGGGATCCAGTGGAGCCTCTGCTGCTGGGCACCGCTCATCTCTGGCTTCAGTCTTTGGCCTTCCGCATCCCTCTGGAAGAGCAACTGGAGGTACAACCACAGAACACACTGCATACAAACACACTAAACCCACACATATCCGACGGTACTGTCAGGTGGTAGATACAGTGGGTACGGAAAGTATTCAGACCCCTTTAAATTTTTCACTCTTTGTTCCATTGCAGCCATTTGCTAAAATCAAAAAAGTGAATTTTATTTTTCATTAATGTACACTCAGCATCCCATCTTGACAGAAAAAAACAGAAATGTAGAAATTTTTGCAAATTTATTAAAAAAGAAAAACTGAAATATCACATGGTCATAAGTATTCAGACCCTTTGCTGTGACACTCATATTTAACTCACATGCTGTCCATTTCTTCTGATCCTCCTTGAGATGGTTCTACTCCTTCATTGGAGTCCAGCTGTGTTTAATTAAACTGATTGGACTTGATTAGGAAAGGCACACACCTGTCTATATAAGACCTTACAGCTCACAGTGCATGTCAGAGCAAAAGCTCAGAGACAGAATTGTGGCAAGGCACAGATCTGGCCAAGGTTACAAAAGCATTTCTGCAGCACTCAAGGTTCCTAAGAGCACAGTGGCCTCCATAATCCTTAAATGGAAGAAGTTTGGGACAACCAGAACTCTTCCTAGACCTGGCTGTCCAGCCAAACTGAGCAATTGTGGGAGAAGAGCCTTGGTGAGAGAGGTAAAGAAGAACCCAAAGATCACTGTGGCTGAGCTCCAGAGATGCAGTAGGGAGATGGGAGAAAGTTCCACAAAGTCAACTATCACTGCAGCACTACACCAGTCGCGGCTTTATGGCAGAGGGGCCCGACGGAAGCCTCTCCTCAGTGCAAGACATATGAAAGCCTGCATAGAGTTTGCCAAAAAACACATGAAGGACTCCCAGACTATGAGAAATAAGATTCTCTGGTCTGATGAGACCAAGATTGAACTTTTTGTTGTTAATTCTAAGCCGTATGTGTGGAGAAAACCATGCACTGCTCATCACCTGCCCAATACAATCCCAACAGTGAAACATGGTGGTGGCAGCATCATGCTATGGGGGTGTTTTTCAGCTGCAGGGACAAGACGACTGGTTGCAATTGAAGGAAAGATGAATGCGGCCAAGTACAGAGATATCCTGGAAGAAAACCTCTTCCAGAGTGCTGAGGACCTCAGACTGGGCCGAAGGTTCACCTTCCAACAAGACAATGACCCTAAGCACACAGCTAAAATAACAAAGGATTGGCTTCGGAACAACTCTGTGACCATTCTTGACTGGCCCAGCCAGAGCCCTGACCTAAACCCAATTGAAAATGGCTGTCCACCAACGTTCACCATCCAACCTGACAGAAGTGGAGAGGATCTGCAAGGAAGAATGGCAGAGGATCCCCAAATCCAGGTGTGAAAAACTTGTTGCATCATTCCCAAGAAGACTCATGGCTTTACTAGCTCAAAAGGGTGCTTCCACTCAATACTGAGCAAAGGGTCTGAATACTTATGACCATGTGATATTTCAGTTTTTCTTTTTTAATAAATTTGCAAAAATTTCTACGTTTGTTTTTTTTCTGTCAAGATGGGGTGCTGAGTGTCCATTAATGAGAAATAAAATTAACTCTTTTGATTTTAGCAAATGGCTGCAATGAAACCAAGTGAAAAATTTAAAGGGGTCTGAATACTTTCCGTACCCACTGTAAGTATAGAGTGATGATGAGCTGATGATGTCTGTCTGTAGGTGCTGGGGTCAGAGGGCACAGAGGAGGCCATTCTACAAGCACAGCTGGTTCCCTGTAACTCCACCGGACTGTATGAAACACACACACACACAGCCGCACATTGTAAGCAGTCCAAATAAACACACAGATATGAAAGTAAATCATCTTTCTCACTTTCCAGACCACTTGGTGAAGATGACATCCTGATCGACCCATCTGAGTTACTGGGTCGACGACTGGACTTCCAGCTGGTCCTGGAACAGTGTTGTGGCCTGCGCTGGATCAGAGAGGCCCGCAATAGAGGGGTTCAATTTGGGTGAGGCATTTGGGGTGACATACAGAGCCGTGCAGGGCACTGAAGAGAGTTTGAAGCACAGGGAGAATGCAGAGAATTCCTACAATAAATTATAGCCCAGGAACTGGAGGTCAAGATGGGTTACAGCAGAACATGTGAGAAGAACATTCATGGTCATTAACAAATTTTAGCATTTAGTGGAAAGAAGACATCACTTAGATTAGTGGTTACATGAAGAACCTTGTGAGTAACACGCTATTGATTCTTTTGGTCAAGGTGAAGACTTAAAATGTGATTTGGTTCTGATCTGCTTTGCATATTCTGTGAAAATTAAACAGGAGATGGTTGTAATTTTAATATTTGATGTCTGGCACAGGCATGGATTAGTGGTGCAAAGGATTGAGAGTGAAGTCTCATGATAGATGGGAAATATTACCGTCCTTTGGATTCATGTGGACAGAACTGAGATACTGTACTCTGTTCTTCTTCTTCATTCCTGTTTCCTCTTCCTCTGCTCTCTTAGTTTCAGGTTATTTGACTGCAGCCAGCCTCTCTACACTCCAGCAGTGTGGCACAACTTCAACCCTCTATTGGATCACAGAGTCCACTTCGCCTCCCTCCACACCTCCCAACGTCTGCTGGACTACCTGCAGAGCAGTGCTGTCGTGCTGGAGCTCTGGGGCCTTCAAGGTAAGAATGAAAAATTAATAAATGATTGACTCAGATATCACCCTCATCTCAATGCCTTCCTCCTCCAACCTTTGACACTTCGTCTGGCACCCTGGTTTGATTCATTTCATGTTATTGCTTTGTTCAAGTCATTACTATAACTGTAAAACACAAAATAGTAACACAGTCAAAAGTATCATTAAAGTTGCTGATGGGTGTAGCCTTTCTGTCTCAGACGGTTGCACAGATTTGGCATCTTGTCTGGAGGGAGTGAGGATGACTACAGAGGGTGTGTTTATCATCGATGAGGCAGGCACAACCAACACTGCAGTAAGTTTGATGTTGAGTCTGTATCCTTGCCTCTGGAGTGATCTATCACTTTGGACTGTTTCTAAATCTGGATGTATAAAGATTTGAAACTGTGGAAGAGATACATGTGCATTTCAATATATTATGTTTTTACCTAACTGTAAGATAAGTTGTGAGACAGTAGAATTGAATCATAAGATAGACTTTGGCAACCACGGTTTTTATATAAAAGTGTGTGTGTGTGTGTGTGTGTGTGTGTGTGTGTGTGTGTGTGTGTGTGTGTGTGTGTGTGTGTGTGTGTGTGTGTGTGTGTGTGTGTGTGTTGCAGTCTGTACATTCTGCAGAGCTCAGCTGTTCAGTGAGAGCTCTTCAACAGGACTTGGAGGACCTAAAGAGTGTTAATGCTTCCCTGAGGAAAGAAAATCATAGTCTGAGAGAACAACTCAACACAGCCAGGAATGGCAAGTAACACAGATACACACCAAAGGCTGCTCAGTTTGTTTTCATTCCAATGAACTGAAAACAGAAATTCAAATGTACAGATTCAATTTAAAAATAGTTAAACATCAAAATATCCCCATTCATAATTTTTAAGAAAAAAAATAAAAGGGAATTCATTCACTCATATCTTCTCGCTCACACACTTTTCTCTCTTCTTGTTTCAGGTGGGGATAGTGCGCGTGGACGGTCGGTGCGCCCCAGCTGCGATGCAGAGTTTGCTCGTGCTCTCAAGGTTTTCTACCACAGTATGACCTCAGTCAGGGGTCAGCTGCAGCGCCTGCGCAGACACAGACCCAGTGTATGTATCCATGCCTGTCTGCAGCATTAGTATTAGTGACTAGTTACTGTTAGTACAGTAAGGCCTTATTCATACAAAACACTGGTAATCAAAAGTGGAGCTATGGAGAACAATAGACAGTGAGGTGCAAACAGACACATATACAAATTAACTGGCATTCAAGAAACGTCTCAGTGAGATAAGAGTGAAGTGACCACAGTAACTGGTGAGGATTTCATTAATTTACTTACTTGGTTGCCTCAATCAAACAATTTCCTCTGGCCATGTTTTTTTTTTTCAGACTGGACTGCAAAGTCAGGGAACATTTCAGGAAATTTTAGAAATGGTGTACAAGAGGTTACATGTGATACTCTGTACAATATACAATCTATATGTTGTCTTCTGCTGTTTTTCAGTGAACCAGCTGAAAAATGATCAACAACATTGGTTTGGCATTTTTTGGTCATGGAATTTAGAAATCAGGGCTTCAGTGAGACTCCTGCTGTTTTTGTAATGTTGAATATTTTAGTTGGTAATTTGGAAATGCATTAAGGAGAATGACAGGTGTATTAAGCCCTGGATCACATAATTGTGCACTGTTAATAAACTTGTGTGTATTTCTGTGTGTTTTCCAGGAGGAGTCTGACCTGCTGGGGCTCAGACTCTTTATAGATGAGCAGAGTCGTCTGCTGAGAGACTTCTCAGAGCAGCTGGAACACAGCGTCTCCGCACTCAAACAAGATGTAGCCGCCATTGTCCGCCGGAAACGAGAGCGATCAGGAATCTGGTCTTGACTGAGGAACTGTTTACTGATTTTAACAAAGTATTAACAAGGTGAATGTCTCTGGTCATTTTCTATTTTACAACACTGCAGACATTTCTAATGTGAAGAGTGTGCAGGATAAAGATACTGCCATTAATAAGTAGCCATTTCTAAAATCTCCACCATGTTAATTCTAAAACCACAACATTATGCCATATGGTCACTGAACTTCAACTTTTGTTATTGATATTTCCAAAATCCTAAAATAAGTTTACAAATTAATATTAATCACTTTATTCTTTAAAGTGGAAGGCATTCAGATGTCTTAACCACTCAACCATCACCAGCTGTGGTAGGTAGATTAGCCTACAAATCAACACAATAACATCAAAAGCACTGAAGTCTATAAAACGTTTATTACACTGCATGTAAAAGTAATTACAGTCCCAAACGGCAAATAAATTAAAAGGCAAAAACAACTCAAGTTTCAGAATTCCCAGTATTATGTTTTTGAACCATCACTGATAATGTGTCATATTTTCAAGCTGCTGCGGTTCAAATTGAAGCACAGTATGACTAATGACAGCATTACATCAGAAATCAAGAAGGCTCTTGTTCCTCTTCTGGTTGTGGGGGGCTGATAAGAAGGATGAGATATTACACATGAGAGGAGGGGAGATATCCTCAATCATTGTGTTGAGTTTAAAGATTAAGTATTTACCACAGCACCTCTCATTGTAATGTCCAACAATTCAGAGGTAAAAGCACAATGGTTAATGTTTGTAAGCAGTCACGACTTCCAACAGTACAGACAGTTGCTGTAGGTCCAAAAAAAGATAAGTGTGGGCACATTTACAGGAGGAGAGGCAGAAGGCAGATGTGAGGCAGATTAGTCATCACATAGGACAGAAAATCTATGTACAACAGATACACAGGCAAACAAGTTGAGAGTAGGCAGTTGGTCATAAGAAACTTAAAACAGGTGCAGAGAGACAAACACAAACCAACAGACAGGAGCAGGGAGGCAGCAGTGAAAGGCCAGAGAGTCAGCTAGGTACATTTGAACTGAGGAGGTAGAATGGAGAAACACAAAGCCAACTGTGGGACGGACAGACAGCTAGCTACAGATATCCTACTGAGGTGTGTGTATGTGTGTTCATGATCAAGGCAGAACCCACGAGTCAGTTAGTTGGTTTGGTTTGTGTTAAATGTTACAGTAGTTCAGATTCTTCAGAAATAAGCACCATTTCTACTGAACTGATTTTATGTGTTGTGTATTTTCAAAAAGCACCCAGATTGTGTGTGTGTGTGTGTGTGTGTGTGTGTGTTTGTGTGTCTTTTCATGCGCAGGTACAGAGAAGGCTGAAGGTAGAGGTGAGGTAGGTTAATTGGATCTTGAAGGGTTGGGGAACAAAACACAAACGATAGAATATAGACAATATACACTTCCTGTAACATTTTCTGTGGTGTAAAATAAATGTCAAAACATTTAAAGCATGTGAATGCTTCTTTTTTCTCTAGTTTAACTGCCAATGGTCTGTACGGCTTTGGAAAAGTTGGAGTTCTGAGTCTGTACAACATAAGCACACGTGATCGCAGAGCATGTATAGTAGCAGTTTGGGTATATATCAAGTACACTGGTGAAAATGACATTAGAAAAAAAACACTTCCTCCAAAAAAACAACCTTTCAGCCATGTGGATGTTACAGATTTCCAAATAAAAGTGTTATCTGTTTCCACTTTTTAATTACACTCCAGTCTATGCAGCCATAAACTTGAATGCAATGATGGACGTATACCTGAATTTTCAGTTATAATACTCTGGTTGTCAGCCAACTTTTAACAGCACTCTTATTCTGAGGATAGATAGAGAGTGTTGTACAATTGTGAAGCCATTTCAGGCAACTTTTAGACTTTGACGTGACTCTTATTCTGCTTATTCTTAGGATATTATTACAGAGACCGGTTGGTTGACATCTAACTGAACAAGCAATGCTTGAGTAAACTATTTTCATTGTTGTTTCCAAAGCTGCCTTTTCTTTCTTTGCCAAGCTAATGCCTCTTTGCAGAAGGGTCAACACTAAAATTGTTACTGGCTGAGCTGGAATGACCTCTATGCATGTAAATATGCACATGCATTATTCCACACAACCACATCCATATTATATCACCCTCTTTCTGACTCTGAAACAACCCTTTAACATTCTGGGTTCAGTTCCCTCCATTATGTTTTCTATTTACTGGAGGTGTGAACTGAAGTTTAAAACATACATGACTACTTGTGTCTCTATTTCTCACTCACTCTCGCTCTCACACACTCTCTCACTCTCACTCACACTCTCTCTCACACACTCACTCACTTTAACCCTCACTGCTAAGCCCAACTTCACACTAACATACACACAAACACACACACACACACACACACACACACACACACACACACACACACACACAGTGAAGCTTTCAGCAGTCAACAAATGATTTTCACAGTATGAAAATATTTCACTAAAGTACAGAGAGGTCCACATTGTCACATTAGGCCCATATTTGTCAGTCCCTAAAGCCACACAAAGATAAACATCATTCATTAAGAGCTGCAGTCTAAGACAAACGAGGATTGGGAATAATTAGATCAGACTGAAATAAGTCAAAGTTTCATGTGACACATTACCAAGGGAGAGGACAAACCATTTAAGATTGTTATAAAAGCAGTACTTAGCACTGTTCACACATTTAATAATATTCACGTAGCTTCTGCAAGATGATGCAGGATCATTATTTGGAAGTAATGCCACCGTCAGACAGGTCATGACGCTTTCAAAACTGGTGTCCAACCTCCAAATCCAGGATCTGATAAATCATCCACATTACACCTGCAGGAAACTGTAACTGTTCTTGTCCATGAGATACATCAACCTCCCTTTCTGAATTGTCAGTTTTAGTCTAGTTTACCAAAATTTTGTAAATTCAAATATGGTAACATACCTGTTCGGCTTACAGTGAAACCTAACTGAATCTACAAAATATTGATTATGTTCACTGACTGAACTGTGTTAGTCAGTAACCACACAGCTAACAACTGACCAGTGAGTAACACCAACTGTCACCACTAAAGCACTCACTGGTACATTCTCCATCTTCATACATTAACACACTAAACAGGCAAGTGTGCATCTGCAGGCAGCAAACCCTCCTTTGAAAGGCATTTACAGCTTACTGACAATAGTTTCCTGTAAAAATTGAGACTTCTCTCAGGCGCTTGTGCCGTCATTCTCAGGAACTCGGCTGTCACTTGCTGTGGTTCCGTGGGTGATGAGAGTAGGTGGGGCCTCAGATACGTCTTGCTGGCTGCTGTGCCTCGAGTGGCCATCTATCTGATGGAGGCTGCTGTGAGTGGAGAGCGGGTGGTCAAGACGTGGCATGCTGCCATGGAAACTGCGCGCCTCGGTACCTCGGTAAACCATAGTATCGCTCCTGAGCAAGGAGGAAAGAGCAGAAAGACCATACCTCATCTGATTTACACCACCTGAGGGACAGACAAACAGAGTGTCATGGATCTCATGTTTTACCTGTCGTCTCGATTGCGGCGCAGGCTGCCGTGGTAGCTGGCCTTGCTGTGGACGCTGCTTGCTTTACTCCTGGTGGAGGTGGGATGGCCATGATGAGTTCTGGCTGGTTCATCAAGGTCGTCTAGGACAGCCAAGTGGGTAGAGGAGGCGTGGGTGGAGGTGCCCTACAGTTAGATAGATAGGAGAGGTCAGAAAGATGTAATAATGTTTTTCTTAAATAATTTAAAAGCTACGATCGTGCAGTGAGATATAGAGATATTCTACAGTGCACAGTAAGTGCTTCAATCATAATCTAAAGCTCTTTTCTGTTAGAAGGTGTTCAGGTAGTCTGATGAATGATGATTTAATGTGCTTGGTGTTTGTGAGTTGACAGAAAATACTACTTCCAGCTAGGGTTATGTTACCTGTTTTGTTGCATTTAGGTTTTGAGCCTGGTTGGGTTTGAATTTTGTTCGTTTCAGATATAATTTATTAATAACTTTTACTTTTTTTCTCGGACTGTGCCAGTAATTGTTGTGTGGAGCTAATGGACAGAAATTGATGAAATAAAGCAAAAATATAGCTTCTGGTCTCAAATTTGGAGAAGTGAAGATACAAGAACAACAACTATTGCTTATTTTGTTGCTTCTACACCTTATATTACATTATTATTATTACTACTACAATATTACAGTGATTATTTTGATAATGCCTTATTATTCCTGTGTTTGCAGTCCTACCTGAGTGGATGTTCCTCTGGACTTCCTAATAATGGGTGTGTTGGGTTCACGCAGTAGAGACTGGGCAAAGTCTGGCTGCTCCTGCAGCACCTGGCGAGACTCGTTCACTCCACTGCTGCAGAGAGAAGAGAGGACAGGAGTAAGAGTTTTAAGAGGAGAGACAGGAATATTAGATAAAGAGTTTAAAGGGAGGGCAGAGGGAAGTGGGGAGCACGTAAGTGAAAGAAAGCAGTGGGACAGGAAAGGGGGAGAGGGGAAAAGGTGGGTTGGAGGAGAAGAGGAGGAGTAATGTAAGGAGCGCAAATAGAGGAAAGATGGGGAGGTGAGTGAGACACGGAGCAGAGGGGGAGAGGAGAAACAGTGGAACAGGAGGAGAAGGTTAATGTGCTGTTATTGAAGGTGAGAGGACACAGGTGCAGAGAACACTCATGTCACCATAGAAACAGACACTACAAAGAGATATGTGTGTTTCTCTGCAGATATCAGTTTACTATGAGCAGCGATGTGCTACTGTCTAAAGCAGTAACATAAAATAAAAACTTGGCTCAATTCTATTATTCAAAAACATTTTCGGCCTAATAAGCATTCAGTCTGAATGAAAATCATATAAGAGAGAGCAAGAAGAGGGCAAAAAACAAACAAAAAGCTTCCGGTCTCTCATCTTACTCTTTGCGTCTGCGTCCATGCAGGAAGCTGGCCCATTCAAAACAGGTCTTCTTACTGCCCACCCAGAAAACAGAGGGAATCCCCACCACCAGCATCATCAGGTATTTAATTAGGAACAAAACCATGATTGGCCGACTGGTTTTCTCCACCTAAAGAAAACAGACACATTGAATATTAACTCCACAGTCATCCAATAAAGACAAAAGGTGTTGAAAATACAGACTGAAATGTAGAAATGTCAGAGAAAGGCAACAGTTTTTATTATTTTGGAAATAGACCTGCATTTAAGTTTAAAATACAGGTAAATATAAGGTAAATAAACTACTTGATCAATAAGGGGACCAAAAATATCCAGCACTGACAAGTGTTTATAGTCCAGTTGTGTCAGTTGTTATGAATGTTGGAGGAGGGAATGTAATTCTAGAAAAAAACTGAGGTCGGGACGTACAGCAACAGCTTTCTCCTCAGATGGACTTGAATTTTGATGCATGACACAATATCTCACAGCAGAGGGCAGGATTTTACAACAGTTGTGTAGGTTATGTGGGATCTTGGTACATATTAGCTGTAGCTGGTTTAAAGACACACCCTCATTTTATAGAATCTAAATCCCTAAATTTTGACTAACTCACTGTTGATGTTTTGAAGCATCAACTAAGAATTGAGTTTCAAAAAATAAACAGAGAACAACTTCAGAGTGTAGAGTATATTTAAATGTGAAGTATCCCGCCCAGATTTAATCTTTCTGAAAGACGTCAAGCAAGAAAATGTCAAGGAAAACATAGAGCCAATCATATGTCCCATTTTGTGTATACATGCACAACTACAAGATACATTTTTTCCAACTGTCCCATGAAAATTAAGATAAATGCTTGTAAAGATGCTATTCACAAACTATTTTAGTGTTCACACTATCTTCTAAGGTGACTCCTAGGGGAGGAGGACTTTTACAAAGCTTAGGTGTAGATTTTGTTGATTTTGAAAGAACCAGGGGCCGGGAGAGTTGGTATGTATTAATTAGCTTTAATCTGTCTCGCTCAAGCTTAGAATAAATGTCTCAGATTTAGGTCTTAATAAAACAAGGAACCCTGAGCCTGCAGTAAATTACCACCCATGCACACACATAAAAATAAAGTCAATTGAAATTGAACAATGCCTACAGAACTATTAGTTATCCAAAAACAAGCAATTGTACCCTCTTACGCAAACACCAACATTTGCACGCAACCCAGGAGATCAAATAACACATAGAAATATTGAAATTCCAGAATTACAATATGATGTAAAGGGGGTCTCTCTTCAAGAGCTCACACACACATATACACATGAACACATGTAGCACAAGTAACACAAGTAACATAAGCACTTGCCTCCACCCTCTCTCATATAATCTGAGTCTGTCAATCACAAATTAGATGACACTTCTTCTGTCAAAGCCCTGTAACAGCTCTCTGCTTTAATATTTATGAAAAATGGAAACATGAACAAATGCACAAGTCTTCTTATCTTATGATTTATATCTTAAACTGATGAAAAGCTTTCATTGCCTTGTGTGTGTTCTTGTTACAAGGACTGTTTGTGTCTATGCTGTGCTCATTTATTTGGTTATTAATGTATCACCAGGTGGTATAAAACATCTCACTCCCACCACTCTTCCGCTACAAAGACATTATAGAGTACAGGCAGCAGAGCATGACTGAGCAAGCCCTGAGAGAGGGACACTGAGAGTGAGCGAGTGAGTGAGTAGAGGGGTAGAAGGGGGAGACTGAATAAAAGAAGTAAGTGTGTGAGAACCAGCTGAGAGAGTGAAAGACAAAGAGACAAAGAAACAGAGTAAAACAGAGATGGCAGTTTTGTGTGGAGTTGGTCTGGAGAGCTGTATTAACTGAGTTAATGATGTATACTGCGCTCTGCTCCCACCCCTCCACAAATACCCACCCACCCACCCACTCACTCACTCACTCACTCACTCAGTATGTGCTCATTATTTCAGCTTATTACAACTTGGGTCTTGTTTTTGTAGTTTTGCCCATTATTTGTACTGGTAATAATAACCCTAATAATATGGTATTGATAACTTGATTGCTGAGATCTGGGAGACAGTAATACAAGTTGTAAATGGAATTAGTAAAACTTACTTGAAAGAGGAAATGAAGGCCAAACAGTAAAATTATTACCCCACCTGTCTGTTGTAAGCATTCATTAATGCCTGTCTGATCTGTTGTCCATTCTTGAGTATGTGTATATCTGTACCAGGTCCCTTCACTGGAGACGCATCCTGTTTACTCATTGGCAGGGGTGGACAGTAACAAAGTACATTTACTTGAGTACTGTACTTAAGTATATTTTTCGAGTATCTGTACTTCACTGGAGTATTACTTTTTTGTTAACTTATGACTTTTACTCCATTACACTTAAAAGACAAATATTGTACTTTTGACTCCACTACACTTCTGAAGTGTAGTGAGGTACTTGTTAGTTTGAAGCAGAGCTTTTAGTCAGAGGAATGAATTTTATTTTATTTTCAAAAAGTGTTATAGACCATACCCTGTTTTTATAACAGGAGAAAAACCTATCACAGCCAACTCCTGTGTTGTCAGTCATGTTGTGCTGCTGCATGTTTGAACAGCTCAGTTTGAACTTGGCAGTGGCCTAACAATGGCTGAATACTTAAGTATTTTCAAAAGCAAGTACTCCTGTACTTATACTCAAGTAAAATTTTGACTGAACAACTTTCATTTGTATTGGAATAATATACGACCAGGAGTATCTGTACTTTGACTCAAGTAATGCAGCTGATTATTTTGTCCACCTCTGCTCATCATGCACTGGTATGCATACTACTCTTACACAGAAGTAAACATATCCCGGTGGTTTATGAGGGGAGAAGAAAAACTCTGTCCTCCACAATGGGAGACTGAGTACTTCACACCAGCTAACTTTGTCAGTGTGAAAACACACACTGTGTGTGTGAGTGAGAGACATAAAAGAACCATGATAGGAATACAGCTGAAAATCCTGTCAAGAGTGTGTCTGTGTATGTTTTTTCAGTGTCCAGCGGAAATGACAGCATATCCCGAGTAGTCACATTTACAAGATATTCTAAATACAACCGATCACAACTTTGAAAGTTATTTGTATTTGCACTGTGTTTACATGCAGAGAATCTGCTGGTGTCTTTTCTGATTCTTATGTCTTGCTTTGGCAAGCTTTCCTCCACAAAAACGTCTTCACAAATGACATACTTCCCTATTAACCAGTGACACATACTTTATCTTGCAAGGATAGCAACATAACACTGTCTCACAGGAATATATTTTTCCCCCCTCTCTACCTTGTATGGGCAGGGGATGTGATAGCGCCTGCAGTTCTCCTCCATCCATGTTGTCTCCCAAATGTTACGGTAGGTGTGTTCGTACAGGTAGCACCCAATCACAGTCAACAAGGGGACAAGATAGAGCACCGAGAACACTCCCATTCGGATCATAAACTTGACTAGTTTGGTCTGATTTTCCTTCTCCAGAGGGATTTCCATGCGCACCCGATTCAGAGCCACAATGCCCACTAACAGAAGAGAGACACCCACCTAAAGAGAGAGAGAGCCAAATGAGAAGATGAGACAGATAGACAAAATTAAAATGAATGGTTATTTTTTAAAGTGCTGATAAGTGACAAGAAGACAGGCCAAAACACTGTCAACCATCCACCCATCCATATACTAATCTATTAATCTCTCCATAACTTCAGCCAACAATCCACACTTGTATCATTCCATCCACCCTCACATTAATCTGTGCACCCATCCATCCATCCTGCCATTCCACTCGTCACTTCTTTCATCCACCCACCCACTCATTTATCTTCTGACTGTACTCACCGCCACATTGAGGCAGAGTGGTGCCAGAACAAACCACCTCAGGGCGTCTATGTCATAGAGCCCTATGAAACACACTCCACTGATCCCATCTCCCTCAATTTTGTTCAGGGCCAACAGGGTGACAGTAAGGGCCCCTGGGAGCCCCCAGGCAACAGCATGGAAGAGGAGGGCTTTCTTCTCTATGGCCTCACTGCCCCATTTAGGCACAGCAGCCAGGAACCAAGTGATTGTCAGTATGACCCACCACACGCTGCCGGCCATGGTGAAGAAATACAGGACCATGAAGAACAGGGTGCATACCTGAGAGAGAAGAGGGGGAGCAATAATTTTTGATCAACCATCAAATCTGTTGGCTCAGTAATAATGTTATCTTCACCACAATCTATAGCATTTATGATCATTTTAACTCTTTTATTCATACAACTGTATGTATGACACAGCAGGCAGTACATGTGTGACAGCTGAAGGAGAGAGTATACTGTACATGCATTTGTTTACTTGTCTAATAGAAATGTATATTGGACTTAAGGAAGCCCACATTTTGACTTGTTAAGGATGTTTCAAGTTCCTACTTAAACATCTGTATTAAATTAGTTATGTCCAATCACAAGAGACTACATCAAAACTAAGATGTTTTAATTAAATCCAAAAATCTAACATTTCAAATCAGATCATCAAACAATTCAGACATTTGGGCAAATAGTTTATAATGTTTTTTTTTTTTTTTTTACACCTGACAAGCTTCTTATGAAACAAAAACATTCCCATGAAATGTTAATGTCAAGTGAAGCTCCTACCTTGTTGTGTGAGCCTTGTGTTATGGTTGAAGCTCTGAACTGAGAAGGGCTGACTGCATTGCACGCTACCCTGTCTTCCAACAGGAAACCAAGGAAAAACACCAGCGACACCATGACATAACACACAGCGTAGAAGATTATTGGACGCTCAGGGTATCGAAACCTAATGGGGGGGAAAAATCAAGTAGAAAAAACATTGATCTCTGTTGCGTCTTCTTTCCATTTTACTACTGATTCTCATAATTTCGCTTCAATTTGTGCAATTCTTTTTACTTTGGAAATTGTTGAACAAACTCTTCAGAAATGTTTACACAATCCATAATAATTCTTGAGGGCTAACAGAAGTATTCTTATAAATCACACTCAGTAAGTTGATATAAGAATTACGACAACAATCAGCCATTCGAACCTGGTAACATCAATGAGAAACGTCAGGAAGGTGAAGAGTGTTGCGGACAGACAGACAATGGAGACGACTCCTATGAAGTATCGGGTGAACGTCAGCTCCTGTTGGTTGAAGAACATTGAGGGGCATGGGGCAGAACAGTCCTTCCTGCCCATGAAAGTGTAACCCAGGTCTGGGTCAACCTTGAGCTCTCTGGGACACCAGAAACCATAGTCTCTCTGGACAGTCATGGATGACTGGTCAGTGGGGTCAGAGCCTGTTAGCAGGTCCTGTGGACGAGGGTAGTGCTCATCACAATCTGGAAACCTGGAAAAAGAAGAATTGCATTAGATCAGGCAAATTAATCTGTTACCAATTTTACTGACACCGTCACTGATATAACTTTTATAATATAGTATATATACTTTTTCTGACATAAATTTTAGAAACAAACTTAGTACATTTAACACAATACATTTCAACAGCAGCACAAAGTACAGCCTCTAAAATGATCGAAACCTTAAATCAACACCTCTCTAAAAAGTTTAATCAAAAAATGAACATTATATCTTTCATGAGGGTAAGATTTTTTGCAGTTCTGGTGGATTGGCTGCATTAGGTTTAGCTAGGTATACCTCAAAAACTGGCAACTGAGTAGAGAAACATAACGAAAAAGACAGATAAGATATGGCAAGAAAAAAAGATGAAAGGGAGCTGCTGTATTGAGATACAGAGGAGGAAACTAGAGGTGAAGTTAACTTTCATCTGGGGTTGAAGTTGTCATGAGTTCAAAGAGAAGGAGCAAGCACAAGAGCAGTGCAGATTTGAGGTATATACAAAACAAATAATGCAGGCTCAGTGCTGGAAAAGTATACAGTATATCTTCAAAACAACCAGAATATTACTGCCTGTATCATCTCAGACACTTAAAAAACCTGTGCGTGATGATACTGTTTATACTTTTTTAGTACTGAGCTGATTTAAAATGTAATACACACCTGCTACAATCCATGTCATCTGGCCAGACTACTCCAAATATCTCCATGAGTTTGTGGCACTCGTCTTTGGCCCGCTGGCAGAGGGATCGACACGGCATGGACACCCGGCCATACACAGTGCACACAGGGGCGTACAGGGCACACAGGAACATCCTCAAGTCAGCACTGCACACTAGGTTTACCATGGGGTGAAAAGGCTACAGGAGAGACCGAGATGTACAGAAATAAAGAGACAGAGATTTTAAGCCTTGGCTACAGCAACGTAGTCTATCATAGTTATTCAATGGTCTTGCAACACCTACACATTTCATCTTTCCAATGTTATATTTCAACATCAGTGTGAGCCAGCTTGACACGGTTGTTATTAAATCTGTCATGCATGTGGGGAAGAGTGATGTAAACACAAGAACACACAAGAACACAACACACACACACACACACACACACACACACACACACACACACACACACACACTCAGGAAAAAGTAAACTGCTATCATCGGCACATACGAAAAGGCTCATATTTAACCTGAAATAGCCATCAATGTGGATGCAGGGACAGTGTGAGGACAAGTGTGTTCTAACTCCTCTGCTGCAATTTATACTACTTAGTATTCCATCAATATTTAGAAGCTTATGAAATATGTATAGCTGCAATCATATTACCAAACAACCCTTTGAAGTAGGGGAGAGAGAGACAGACCTGTGAAGGTTGAGCCACATGTGTCAATACATTGAATATACAAACCACAGGGATATCCACACACTAAAGATGACATATTCTGCTCCCTGGAGTAGTAGTCTAAAGGTCAGAGAGTCAGGCTTGGGAACTTAAGGTTGCTGGCTCAAATCTGTATATGGATTGGAAAACTGTGACTGATGGGATTGATAAAAAGTAGCCTTAGCTTTTCTTTTAATAACTACTGCTGACATATGCATGAACAAATACTCTGAGTGGGGATTCAGCACAAGCTTGATTATTTTTTGTTCTGGTGACAGCTACAGTACAAAAAAACGTGATGATTTGTCAAAGGTCATAGTGTGGCCAGTACCACAATATCTCTTTTCTGTTGATGAAGATTTAGTTTCTCTTTTAGCTGGGGGCTGTTACTGCTCATGTTGACAGGTGAATTATTCATCGGTTTGTTCAAAAAACATGCCTTTCCATGGAAATTAAATTAGGAATATGGTAAATACGCAGCAGAACACTTGAAAATATGAACTGCGATTTGTGTATGTGTGCATCAGCAACTGCCAGCAACATTGTGAGTGCTGTGCCCTATTATGCTTATGTGTGCAAAGTGACCTGAATCTATTCAGCTGTTTAAAGTTCATATCATCTGGGTGCACTGACGCTGAGTTTTCAATGCAGCCTTTAAAACAGATAACAGAGAAATCAGAGCAGAGCCATAACAGCAAAGAATGGACAGCAATGGAACAAAAACACTTAGGGCTGACCGCACACAACGTTGCACTTTGTGTGTATATGTGCACATTTGACACAAAACAGTGCACTTACATTGGTTGCTTACTACAAAAAGCTGTGGTATATACTTACAGACTGCATGACTACATCCATGCCCATGCATCAGTGAGTCTGTGTGTGTGTTTTGTGCACGTTTCTGTGTAGAGTCAAGCCTTGTGAGTATGTTTTGATCGTTCTCAATTGATGTGTTCTAGATCTGCACATTGGAGAGAAATTCCACCAGTAAATGGGTGTAGTGGTGCATGAGCTGTGTGACATAGTTTTGAATGTTGCACAGAAACACATGTGCGCATGCACACACACGCACGCGCACACACACACACACACACACACACACACACACACACACACACACACACACACACACACAGCTCTCAGCTTCATTTAATAATTCACGCATTTTATAACCCATGCATTTTCATTTCTTGTGTGTGAACACGCAAGGTTCACTGTGTTGGGACACAGAACAACAGGAACCACACAAGCTTTAGTTGTGGGCCTGTAATGTACAGTGATGATATGGTAAAACAAGACTAGATCAAAACTTTGTATATAGCTGGACCAGGTCATATTTGCATTCTATCCAGTGTCAGCCAGTTTCAGTCCTTTATCTGTTTGCTTCTCTCCTACTCTCTGTGCTCATGTATAATTTTAATACAGCTGAGTTTCCAATACTGCTGTTCTCATTTTTCTGTTGTTAGACAAAAGAAGAAGTATGATATAATGACAAACATGGCCCATTATGCCCTGATGAATTTGAAAAAGAAAAACATGATTGCCTAGCTACACTGATTATTATATCTTTCTGATGAAGCATCCTCAGTGAGAGCTCTTATAGTGATATAGGGATAGTGATGGTACCTCCACAGTCTCAGTTTGCACAAATATAGCTGTCTTTTTCTTTTTTCTTTTGAGTGCATAGTAATGCACAGTACATATATGTCAATAACAACAAATTCATGAGAGCCCGAGGCCACACTTCACTGAGAGCTTGTTGCTTTCTGCATGAGTGTGTCCGACTGGCCAGCAGAATGGAGCCTTTCTTTTTGTCTCCTCCTACAGTGAATATGTGTGTGACTCCCATTTTGTGTGTCCCCATTCTGCCCACTTCTCCAGTGCATGTGGGGTTACGTGTGTGTGCGCAAGTGCATATTTATATATGTGTGTGTGTGTCACTGTTCTTGTATTCTGTGTAAGTGTGTCCCAGTTATTGTGTTTCCCGGTGTGTGTGTGCAAGTCAATGCCTGTTTCCAGATATGTGTGCAATTATTCTGACAGTCAAGGCAATTGCCCCCCATCTCCCACCACAAAGAGAATATTGATATTAAGTGGCCTAACTGTGCCTCCCAAAGAGAGGAGGGGGATGGCAATCAGCCCTCTATGGAGAATGACTAGAATAAAGTGTCTGGCATTTTATAGTCAGTTGTGATGGAAGAGCAGGGAAAGGAAAGCAGAAAAGCCTACAAACTTGGCCTGAGGGTAAGGGCACACTCCTACAAAAACATGGAATGATGTGGAAGAAGACGATAAGGGTGGAGAGAAGAGAGGAAATGTATTGCATTAGCTTCCTGCAATCAACTGGTTTCTGTCTTTCCATCCTTCAGTGTGTAAAACACTAAATCCACTTAATAACCTAACAACACATTTCCATTTGACTACTAATTGCTATTCAGCAAAATATCAGATTGCCTAAACCACAGATAAATGCCAAGAATTGACTATACATCAAAATATCAGCAGGTTAACAGACAACGCTAGATAAAAATCAAATTGAAAATAAAATCAAGGGTTTATTTGTAAGTTTGAGTGTGTGTTTTGGACAGGCAATTGTGAATATTCAGAATGAGAAGCAAGGTTGGTTTTTTAACACTGTGGAAAATGAGAAAAAAGCCCCTGACTGGTCCACCTCTGGTTCAATAGAGGGATTAAGTTTCTTTTCTCTTTACTCCTTCTCCCCAAAGAAACCCAGCAGAGGGAGAGAGAAAAAGAAAAAACTTAAGTAAAAAAATCAACAAAGGAAAACAGAAAGAAAGCAGCATATGATTAACAGTAACATAATGCAAGTAATTACGCTTTTGGCAAACGAGGTAGATACCAATAACTGCTGTAAAGGTGGTAGCAAAGAGAGAGCAATGCATACATGAAAAAGTACAGGGTGTGTTGCACGTGAGAACTTTTCGCACCAGTTTGTAAAGCGTTTCCGGTGTCCAGTTCAGTCTGTGTGATGGGGATGAAAATCAATATACATGGTGACAGTACAACAGGGCACCTTTGCACTGTTCATGAACCCCAGTGAATCAACTGGTTTGTTAGCCCGATAAATGCTGACCCAGACCAAAATTTTGGAAGTCACTGACCATCAACAGTTTGCTGTGCCAACTCTTTCTTACTCACAGTCTCCTTCAGGAAAAAGTTGCTCTCCACAATCCACAATCCCATGTCATATACTTTTTACTTCACAATAATAAAATTGTAAACATAGATCATAAATGGTACTATTTTCAGATTGTAAGTCATTTTGTTACATTTCTCAATTGTCTTTATTACATGGTTTGCAACTTAATACAGTGTTAATACCCTGAAAGCCCTAACTTCCCTCCTTGTCGGGGTTGTGCTGCTCTGGATTCAAATCCAAAACCAGGAAACTTACAGTGCATTCAGAAAGTGTTCAGACCCCTTAAATTTTTGCACATTGTTATGGTGCAGCCTTAAGCTAAAAAAAAAAAAATCCCTCATCAATCTACACATGATGACGATGAATTTTAGAATTTTATTTGCAAATTTATCAAAAAGAAGAAACTTTGGAAAAAGTTTCCAGATGTGCAAAGCTTGTTACATCATACCCAAGAAGACTTGAGGCTGTAATTGCTGCCAAAGGTGCTTCAACTAAGTACTGAGTTAATGGTTTGACTACATATGTCAATGTAATGTAATGTAATGTAATCACTTTTAACTTTGTCATTATGGGGTATTAAGTGTAGATTGATGAGGGTGATGCATAAGGCTGCAACATAGATATCAAAATATTGAAGGGGTCTGAACACTTTCTGAATGCACTGTATATGGGTTTTTAATATCTTTGAGTAGTCCGTTTATCCAGTGAGTGTTTGTGTGTGTGTGTGGTTTGGTGCTTAGAATGGTTGTAGAAAATCCAGTTAGCCAACTCTGCAGAAACTCATACACACTGTCAAGTGTAGGAGGAGGAGGAGTAGGAAGGGAGGGAGAAAAACTGGAGTGGAATGGAGAAAAGAGTGGCGGTTTCCCGGTGGATTAGAGAGTCAAATGCATTGTAAGGAGTGTTTAGAGTGTGAGAACCTGAGACGAACACACACACACACACACACACACACACACACACACACACACACACACACTTCCTGAAACTGTCACCAGCTTTGTATTGTGGTCAGATCAAGGTGACAGGCTGTTGGCTCTAAGCCTCCAAAGAAACAGCTCCTGAGCTTGCAAGTCCTCTTCAAAAAATCCCATGTTTTTTCCAAAGGTGTCCAACTTAACGTTCTGATGTTCAAGTGCATAATATTTAATCCTGGGTTTCTACAAGTAATAGATACTGTCTTTTTTGTTTATACAGCTTATCAGTGATTTTCTTCAACTTTAAGTTATTGTGTTTATGATTGCTAAGTACTTTCAGTGCTTAATTGTGATGCAAAAACCACTCCAGCAGCAATCTAATTGTCTAAACAGCTATAA